ATATATCGGCGGTGCGACGTTAACAAGAGTAATTCGTGCGTGGTCGTATCGCGTTCGCAATTCCGCACCTGTCGTTTCATCGTCCTCATAACTTTTGACCTATATTGCTATAGATTATTAACGTTTCCGCAAATTCGTGCGCGAATGTATATTACCGTCGTAGCGCGAGCGCGCTCTTTCGCTCCGGAATATCGGAGCATTTCCCGTTCAAGGCACAGCAGACACCCGCATTGACTCTATATACACACATACTCACGATATTTCAGTCACTTTATCAGATTTTGCCGCTTGTCTGCCGGATTCCGCAATATGCAAGCGCGGCGCGGCGCCGCGTTTCCGCCCTTACTCGATATTCACGCACTGCCACGGCAGAGCGCGGGAGAAGAAATCGCGGGACCCGATGACGTTGATTCTGTTTTAATTGGCAACTCTGTGTACACCAGATGCCCATTAATTAAACTGATAAATTAAAATCGCTGCGCCGTCGCCCGCGTCGCTGCGGTGCGGCCGGAAATTGATTAAATTCGTGTTTCGCCGGACCTTTCGGCCGTGCGCGCCGACATTTCCCATTCCCAATTTAACAAGGCGCCGCCGAGTCACTTCATTCTTTCATATCCTTTCGCAATACGTGTATATAACTCGTGCAAAAGTTCCTCTCGAGAACGTCTCGGAGCCAAAGAGGTGACGTTATTTTTACATTTAATTCATGTTCTACTTATAGCACTTACAGCACCGACGAGATAAACATTATTAATTCCACGATTGTAGTTCGTAAAACATTGTTATTCCGCATTCGTTAGAAAAATGCAAAATGCAAACAAAAACGGAATGGCGCGATGCAGGTCTTGTTTATGTTTCTTACTCTCTTGTATACATTTCGTGATACTTCGCACTACTTTTATGCAAATTTAAACATTCTTCCCATGCTCTCTCAGGGTTTACCCACTTCTTGTACAAGAATAGCTTGTACAAGAATAGTAAAGAAATTAGAGAAGAAACAAATTAGCTCAAGTAGTCAAATTAAAGATATTCTTAACTGTTATGAAATAATAAACACCGAGTAGCAACGCACAGAATCACTCTGTTATTCCACCGATGTATGAAAATTCTCATTAAATATAGACAAATTTATATTTAAACCGAGATTTGTTTACGACTTTCATTTATCGCACGGAATCACTTTCATTATCGATTTTTACATTACACAATTTGTAGCGCTGTTATCAAGCGCTGTGACTTTCGGGGAGACAAAGATGCGTGCAAAGAAAATGCGCATGACGCCACGACGCTGATAGTAATTGACGAGCGCGGCCATAAATACCGTTAATTAAACTGATAAATTAAAAGTGTCACGGTACAGGGTACCTGAAAATTGATTGCACGCAGATCCGCGCGCACGGCACGTGTGTCACGGCTACATATGTGTGCGTGCGTGTGCGTGTGTGTGTGTGTGTGTGTGTGTGTGTGTGTGTGTGTGT